CCTTTCTTATGAAAACCACTTCCCTTAATCATTTCATTATAATGCTGAACTGGTTTTTAAAGCCACCTGTATGATACAGTCATTTATATAGGCATAAATATGAACAATACAATAGCTTTGTTAATGTGGGATTAACAGTTGCAACCAATTCAGAAAAAAATTACATATCCCAATAATGCAATTTTGCACTTATTTTGCAATAGTTGCAACCATTAATCCCCCACTATAAACAAAGAAAGCATTTTATTGTTTAAATATACCAATTTTTGCTCAATTCCTTGGACATTTAAGATAAACATGTAGCAGCCCATCTGTTTGAATGGATCATGTGTTTGAGGAGTGGAATATGTGAATGACCATCTTTTTATCCAAACTAAAATGTCATAGAAGTATACAGTTTTCATTTCTACATTTTATTACAAAGATAATTAACAAGTGTAAAAAATATTTTAACATCATGTGTATGATATATGCTATCATAGTAATGGACACAACAATGTTGTTTGAGAGTATACATGTAGGAAAAAGTATGCCATAAAAATCAACACTGTGAAAAACCCACTGTTTAATATGCATGAATTTGAAAAAAAAAAAAATGAAAATGACCTACAATTAATACTACATGTTAAAGGTTTAATAGATTCACTAACTTATCCTAAGACCATGTCTGTGTAAAAAGCAATAACTATATAGTTCTGTGCAGAAAAATTAATGTCTCTTTTTAACTTAGGTCTTTTATTGCTGTCACAAGAGATTGAAATTTAAAAAAATGTGAATCATACAATGAGTTATATCTACAACTATCACTTTCTTCTAAAACCACTTATTGTAAAAAAAAAATGATTGTGATCAGCATACAACCTTAATCTTAATAAAAATACTTAAATCCTTAAAAGCATAAATCAAATATTTACATTAATGGATTAAAACATCAAAATCTAGAATAAAATGAAGTTTACAGTTTTAATAAAAACAGACCTATCTTTCACAATTTTTAAAAATAAATTATCAATTTTTACACTATTTTTACACTATTACATAATCATAAACTACCTTAAAGGAATCACAATAGCTCAATGGAAATATTTGGTATATATACACACATTTGGCACATGAACATGCCCTACAATCAACCTGTTAGGCATATAAACTACAACAGATAAAAAAAAAAAAATCAAAAAACAGAATAATTACAATGTGGATGGAAACTTAAGACCAAGGGTCACTATTCTTACATTAGGTTGACATGAATTTTAGGATCAAACCTGGTTTTCAATATCCTGTCAGTATTGAAATAAATAAGCTTTGATTATTGGTATCTTGCAATGTCAAAAAATTTGAACTTACCATTAAACTAAATTAACATGTTTTCATACATTAGCAATTTAAAATATCAATGAAATATCAATATGAAATTCATTACTGATATACCCTTACAAGATACCATTCATTTAAACAAAATATAAGACCTGAGATTAAAAGTCTAAAAGGAACCCAAACTTTACCCTCAAATAAATCAATAAAGATGAAATGGTCAAATTGTGAAGTATTTAAAATTCAATTATTTGAGATTTGTGTTCCAAATCAGACCTAAATTATCAGCTTATTACCCAAAGACGTAAGCATGCTCCTGCAAGTTGTTTACCAGTTCAAAATTTTGTCAACTTGGTATATTTCCTTCCTAATTATTTTTAGCTAGATATAAATCTTGAGATGATAGTTATGTTTTGTTACCCTTATAAGTTAATGCCCTTCATTTTTTTTATCAATTTTAAAGTCAAAGGTCAGAGTCATGCTAAACTCCAATGGATGATTTGAAAAAAAAAAATCATCTTTGTTTATTTGTGAAGTTAATTGATGATGATCAGGATATTTCATCCTCAACAGAGAGAATTCAACCTTATTTCTAAAATAAAGGTCCAGTTCAACTTTGATAGTGGTACATGTACATTGTACCGGGTATTTGAAACAAGCTAATTCAGAGAATTTCTGTTCCCCATTTAAGGGAAAAAGAAGAAGGTGAATATCTGTAAAAATATGCAGATGGAGGAAGAAAAGAATAAGGTCAACCTTGACCTTTCAGCTTTTGGCCTTAAAGTCTTTTTAAGTTAAGAAATTCATGAAAAGTTTCATTACAAAAGCTTACAGAGAACCAGTTATCATCTGAAAACTATGTACATGTATGCAACATATAAATTTCTGACCTTGATCTTTGACCTCAAAATCAATAGGAATAATTTTTATCAGTCATATTGACTAAAGGTATAAAATTTCATTGCAAAACCTCAAACAGAACTAGCGGCGTCTAATGCTAGATATCATATGAATTTTTCACCATGACCTTTTGACCTAAAAATCCAAATAAGTCTTCTTTATGTCATTGGGAGTTATGATATTTCATAGAAGAAGCTCAAGGAAAACTAAAGTATACATCTGGAAACTATTTTTTTCGGCATTGTATGAATTTCTGACCTTGACCTTTGGACCTCAAAATCAATACAGGTCCTCTTTAGATCATTAGAAGTTATGATTAGACCACTATTAGTTATGATACATAGCTTCACTGAAAAGCTTAAAGGGAACTAAAGTTATCTTCTGGAAATTTTTATTAGCAATATATAAATTTCTGACCATGACCCTTTGACCTCAAAATCATTAGGGGTCTTCCTTAGGCTATAAGCAGTTGTGATATAAAATTTCACTGCAAAAGCTCATAGGCTTTTTGATATATTGTCAGGAAACAAAAGTGTTACACACAGACAGAATGAGAGACACTTAGATGGACAGATGGGCAGACCCAAATTAATACATTTACCCCCATTTTCAGTTAAAGCACATGAAAAAAAATATATCATCCTGAATTACTAATATGCAATATTTAAGGATAATGAACAGAATACCGGTAGGTCATAACAACAAAGATTTGCTCTCAAAGGTCAAGACCAAAGAAAGCCCTAATGGATCCTATCCTGATTTACCTATCTGTGAAGTTTTAATTTTATACTAAGAGTAGGCCACCCACAATAGAATCAAACATGACATCTAGACAAATAAACATTCATGTAGATGGAGGACAGTCAACAATAATACCCGGTACATAGAATGTTTTGCATTGTAATATATGACCAAAAATGATCAAGGAGAAATGAAGTTAATTTAAAAAATCTAATATCAATTACTAACACAAAAATAGTGGTCAAGGATACCCATTGGAAGGAAAACACGAAATATTTACTCTATAGAAAATAAATTAACATTTTGAGGGAAATATACAACTTCTGGAGGGTTTAAATGATACATTTAAAAAAGAGTATTTCTGATACATGTGTCTAGATTATAATGAACTTGAGTATAAAAATCAGGCACTATATTTACACAAACACAGAAATGAAAATACATTTATAAATATTTCCTCTAACAATAGTAGAATGTAGAATTTTTTTTTTAATTTTGGCAAAAATTAAGCAAGATACATCAATTTATATTTAAAAAAAGATATATATAAATATGTCAGAGAAATTGTGTAATGAGATACATTTGTAGTTCCTGATTAAAGAAGTAATACTATCTGTAGCACTTTAGTTCTTTCTGCTTTGTAAATTTGAAATACATTTACTATATTGGAGGTACTGTTATAGATGCTTAAAGATTTTAATTATAAATACATCATATTATGCACTTTAGTTCAAAACACTTTTAAAAGTGATAGTTACATTTGCACTTTACTGAGCTTGTTTAAAAAGTCCTTAGCACTTTATAATACAGTCACATAACCATATCTATGGTATTTTTTTCATATGATACCTGCAATATTAATTAAAATAAAAATGAAAACTAGCTTCCTTGACCTTAGATTTACTAGAAATAAAAATGTCTTCTAAAAAAAACCCATGAAAATTAATAATGAGGGGCATGAAATACTTTCATTTGTAGTGTTAATACATGAAAGTGTAATCATTTTCCCACTTTGATGAGCATTTTAACTAAAACCCTTTACACCTGCAAATTTTTAGGAAATCTCTTGGTCACACACTAATTATAAGTGCTGGGATATCTGCATTCTGGTCTGTTTTTTTCTTTTATGTCTACCATCTCTCTTGGAGCTATCAGTGTAGACCACTTTATCACATGTCTAGCTACTGGAAGAAAAACATGCATGTACTTTCATAAAACAATACACAAAATGACACTAATCCTCAACTCATCTCTATAATTAGTATTAAAAATCCTCATTATACACAAACCCATATTACTCAGCATTTAGTCTATCTACATGTATGTTAGATTCAAATTTGTATTTTAAATGTGAACATGCATATATGGATTGTACTTGATTTTTATTTCTTTGACAGGAATATGAAAAGTCTCACCCCTAGACACTGGAGTCAGCTGTTATGTTCCCTGTAACAAAATACAATACATAGTGTTTACACAGTGAAGAGTGTTCTATAAGAACATCTTTTGCCTATTATGCATACATTGCAGATATGTAAAGTAAGTAATTATGAAAAGTCTAGAGCTTATATTGATCATCTGTTATAAGAAGATATCCTTGAATTTTCTGTCTTTCTTTACATTATAGGAATGTCATACGTTTTTATACTAATAGTTCATGCTGGTACAAAGTCAATACTTCTCGAACAGGAAAACATTTGCCATGAAATTATGCCCATGTTAGAAGTCAAAGTTTATATCCTTATGAATTTTTCAAAAGTGAATGACATTAAATACCTATATATTTTTTATCAAGGAAAAAAAAAAAATCAAAACTTCCTCAAACTTTCTTCAATTCTTGTTAGAATTTATTCACAACTCATTAAAATTCACAACTTTCTGAGAATACCATGTCAATAGAAACCAGAAAAAAACAAAACATACACTAGAACATAACCTAGCTTCTTTCAATTTGCTGAGGGAGAATATCTTTTATAGTTTTTTTTCTTTTGCAAAATATATTTTTTGGGGGTTAACTTGACAGCTGAAGGAATTTGTTTATGATGTCATACATGTAATACAAACGTCATCTTTAATGACATACCATTATTTATCTTTGGATCCACTCCAGAAATACTCAGACCCCTTCCTGTTCCAGCACTGTAAATAAATGTTTCCGAATTACAAAACATTTGATTCCCCATGAACAATGATGATTCCACAGTACATTAAAAAAAATCCTGTATACAATTAACATCAGTACATGCACTTAAACTGTTAGCGTGCATGCTATCTCTTTGTTTTATTTCTTTGAGTATATGACTTAATTATTTGGATAGATAATCATATTATGTTGATGGCATTCCTCTTTCTACAAAAATCCTGTAGAAGAGAATATGTTATAAAAGAAACATTTTCACCCATCCCAAATTCCAAAAGAATCTTTTTATTTGCATGTGAGAAATATATACATCAGTTAGTTTTGATATAAAGTTGTTGTTGACAAAAAAGTTGTCATAAATAATTACTCAGTTTACAGTACTAGTAAAAGTACCTCTTAAGAATCAGGAAACAATATTTATTTTCAAAAATTCAAGTATACTGTAACCCAACTATTATTCATGACTTTTTTTTTTTTTTTTTTTTTTTTTTTTATACGATTTGTCAATTTGAAATCCATCCTCAGCAATTTAACTTTTCATGAGTAAAGAAACATTCTACACAATGTTTTACATTGAGAAATTTTCACGCATAAACAAAGATTACAAAACTTGCAGAAAAGATTAGCCATACTAGTGACCTTGTGTCAAGGTCATGCACTGTAATCATAGTCATTGTAGTCAATGTGTAAAGCATGAGCTCATTTGCACATAAATTTTCAAATAAATGCACTGCATAAGCTTTATGAAAGCCACAGAGTGACTAATAAACCAAACAAGTTATTCAAAATAAAACACAAGTTTAGGTTGGTGAAGTGGTCTTCAAATTAATTTGTAGCAGCATTCAATATGCAAGCAGCTCTATGATGTTTTTAAAAGGAGAATGTCAACAATAGTTTTTATGACAGCCCCTCTATTCTTCATGCATCATCCATGCATGGTTATATTTAAATGCACAAAGCACAAAAATATCCTTAAATAAACCAAACATTTGCATATCATTAACTAGTGTTCTAAAGAGCAAAGAGCAAGAGCCACTTAGGGCCTTTTTGGGCCCTGAGAATTTCTGAAAAATCGAAACTGCTCAGTTTTGGTTGAAAATGCAGTATTTATAACTTGGACCCTTGATGACCGTGTATCTATTGAACATGACGTACTTTTCTCTCTAGTCAATGCATTATGACGTCATAAAATGCGTCATTTTCCCCGTTTCCTCTAAATTCCCTTAAAAATAGCCAAAAGATGAGGTATTTTTTCAATTTTTCATATAGAGCACAACCTCTGATCCAAAATATGCAATTGAATAATGAAAGATCTGTTTCTGAAGATCACAAAACATATTTTAATTTTTGGATCGTGGGCTGTGCTCATATTTTAATTCTTTGCTGATGGTAGTCAAATACGCATGATTTCTGCAAAATTCAAGAACATTGCATTTTCTCAAAGCCTGTTTTCGAATACCTGGATTCTCAAAAAAAAGATTTGTTATAGGAAATGAAAGCACTAAGTCTCTACTTTATTCTGATATGTGAAATGGGACAGAGGGTGATAGTCAATTAACTGATATAAGGACAGGGCCATTTTATGCATAAAGTGAACCTAGCTCTTTTAACGGCAACATTAAATACAAGAGGCTCATGGGCCACAAAGCTCACCTCTTTCTCATTAACATGTACATATATTGATAATTAGATGAAACACTTCATTTATTATTACCCTAGCTGAACTACAAGCCCATTGCTTCATACCAGTGTTATAAATAGTAAACTTCAAGATATTGTTCTTTACAATATACATGCAATCTTAATATAAAACTCCAACACTGAGACAAGGGTCTATAACTTGCATAAACTTGAATATGGAATACGTTTTATCAGTTGTGATCCGGCTGTCCCAGAAGGAAGATTTTAAATTGAACTCTGAATGAACACTACAGTATAATTATTATATTGTAGTGTTTTTAACAGGCAAGCTTGATGAGTCTCAAGCAATGGGTTTATGATGCATTAGAATATAAATTTGAACATTGATAGATATTACATGGCCTGGCTCTAATTGTAATTTTGGTAATTATAAATGCAAGTAACAAGCGTGAAAGTCAAAAAATACTCCATCAGAGCAGAACAAGCAACAATAATCAAGTCATGCAGTGACTGCCTACCTGGCAATTGTGGGGGTACTTATATCTCTCTTAACTATATACCATTGATCAGATTTATCCTGGGCCCTGATAGAGAAGACATGCAGAGAGTATATACACACCACTCAAAATCAGTCAGCAGAGAAAAGTAAAAGAAATAATTTAGACAATCAAACATTTTAATACCGCTAAATTGCTGTGTCCGTGCATGGTTTGTGAATTAGATTGAAGAATGCCAAAGATTACTTTGTGGGTCAGTATTAAAAAAAAACAGCTTATTGGGTTTTGTTTTTCAAAATGTTAAAATTATCAAACTATTGTGAAATTAATTGGATTTTCAGTCTAATTAATTTACCAGTGGCCAGATGGGGGGCATCAATTATTATTCTATATGATCTGTAACAAAAGGGCGTAAGACTTTAAGTCACCATTTTTTATCTTAAGAACATAAGCATGTTAAAAATGTCTTATATCAATACAGCACAATACAAAAATAGAAAGTGAAAACAATATTAAAGCTACTCAAAGGGGTTAAAAATCAGACTTGAAAATTAATTACTTTATTAAACAGAGATAAACAGGGGGAAAAAAATAAAACAGGCCATTGATAATGTGCGTTATACATACGATGCTGGGCGACTGAATTCAGCCATCTCACGAGGGGCTGAACTAGTCTCTTTGAACACATTTTCCTCTGGTATTGCTGTATCTTTTAAATCTGCCTTATCTCCCTTTGGTTTTCCCACATTGTCATCCAACTGAACGAATGTATCATAATTTGATGATCGGTGCTTTCTGTTAAGAAGTGAGGGGTGAAGCATTAATTAGCAAAGAAAAACATGAGTGTGCCCAAGCTTCCATAACTATAGGGGTTCAGCAAAAGAAATGAAGCCTATAGACTTAATAAAAAGGATTTCAGTGACATTCTTCCATGCTTTGTATAGAAATTTATTTCTCCATAATTACATTCCTTGTTTTCAACATGCACTGTATAGAAAAAGTGTACTTTTAGAAAGATAATTACTACTACTGATTTTCTGCATGCAAATTTGACAAAAACTGAACTCTGGGTAGGAGAAATAATTGACAAAGGATCACTCAGGTACTGCCAGGTGTTTATATATCCATCATCGACTGATCTTACCTTACATTGTACACAATTGAAATTTGGTCAATACTCTTATAACAAGTTAATACAAGTTATCAGTCAGAAGAATGGCCTGAATTAAATGAAATATTTCACCTGTTAGTAAAAAAAGGCACACCAAACACACACACACACACACCAATACAAGTTTACCTTTTCTTCTTGTGCTTAGGAACCAGTTCATTGTAGTTAATGGACTCAGTGTTCATGGCATTTTCCAAGATTTTGGCAACTTGATATTTCTCCTGTAAAATAATTAATAGTTTTATTTCAGAATTGGAATTGATCTTATGATCTAAAGCTTCTTCACAATATTTTCAGTCTTTCATACTCTGTGCACATGGTTTTGTTTTCAACATACCCTTCGTATAGAGAGCTGGACTTCCCTTGGAACATCTGGTATCAGGTATGCTATGATAAACTTTAGGGCAAACACAATATGCTGTAAATGAAGAAGAAACAGTTGATGATTAAAGACAAATGTATTTCTATTACAGGAAGAGTAAACAATTTCTTTTTATTTATCCTTCTGATCGAGTTTAAAAAGTTCTTGTAAATTTCATGAGTACATAATATTCCTTTTGCTAAATAAAGTGAACATTGATTAACAAATTTTTGACTCCAATAAGTAAACACATCTATATATCATTCTTTGTTATCTAGTTAATTTAGATATAATAAATGTGTGACGTGCAATACATCAAATGCACAGTGTGTTTGCAATACAGGGTAAAAATATCAAACTTGTACACAGGTTGCATGATCATACTTATCCCAAATTCAATTTGTTGGGGTGGCAGGAAATTACCTCAAAACCCAATACAATCCAGAGCTTTGTTGCTGTGTCGAAGTTATATGCCCAGGATGATGTAAAACCAATCAGGAACCCATTGGTTATCACTCCTATTGTGTTCACCAAGTCAAGAATCCCGTACCATTTACCTGCAGGAATTCCAGGAAATATAAATATTTCCACAGTTAAACACAATTCATTGAAAACAATGACTTTTATACAGGTATTAATCTGTACACATAGTAATTTGGACCTGTACCTATGTCCTGTCTAATATAGGCTACAGGACGTCTATTACTCCACAACATTCGTCGAGCATCAATCCTAATATCTATCAGATTCAGGAGAATGGCCATCAAAGGAGCAAGAGGAAAGGATGCTGCAAACAGCTGAAATAAAAATGTCAAAGATTTCTTAACCTGTTAGGTTTATATAGATAATGAAAGATAATACATACTGTATACTAAAGTTATGGATATTTCTCAACACAAATAACAGTTGGTTTACAATAGTTTGAAAAGTTTATAGATGGGGCAAATTAGTTTTCAAACCAGATGTCAGTTAGAAAAAAAAATCTAAAGCTTCATCATTTTATGGATTTAGTTATACATCTGGAAATATACATGGAAAGAAAGACTGATAATAAGTATCCCTTGTGATACATGTAGTAAGTATTTTCCTAGATGCATAATCTGTGCAAGTTTGATCGAGAGTCTTTTGAAAATGGACATGCTCCAAAAACTGATGCAAAAAGAGAAACCAAATAGAGATACACATTGCATATCTCAGAGTAAGCTAAATAAAATCTTTTTAATCAACATTATTATTTCAAAGGTATTATAATTGGAAATATCAATTCAATATGCTCAATCTGATTAAAATAAGATCCTTTGATTCGCTCACATAAATCACTACACAAGGATCTGAAGAAACCCCATTCAGGGTCATCTCCTAGTGACCTTTCAATTATCCAATCAAACATTTGCTTGCAAGAATTTAGAAGTATCTTGGAATTCAGTCTCAGAAGTGAAAGCCCCAATGATACACGAACGGAAAATTGTGACCTGGTTTCCATATCCTGTCAAAAGAATGACCACAGTCTTTCCTGTAGAGAAATATATTTAGTATTTGCTTTTGTCTTGTTTTCTAGCTCTTTTGTTTTGTACGAAATGATAAGATCTTCTCCACAGCTACTTCTACATTCATTTTCCCGAATGTTGCTTAAGTACGATCTCTCTGATTTGTCAAAATTTAAATGAATATTTTTATTAGAAAGGTCACCAGGAGATGACCCTAAATATAGTTTCTTCAGATCCTTGTGTAGCGATCTATGTGAGCGGATCAAAGGGATCTGATTTTAATCAGATTGCAATATGTAAAATAAAAGTTTAAAAATCATATACTGTAAATCACTTTTTTATTTGCAAGAACTTTTATTTTTGTGTAATTAAGCCAGACTGTTTGCTCCCTAAAAAAGTTCATTCTTGTATTTAATACTAAGGATTTCATGTATATAAAACAATATTGGAAATTTGTGAAAATTTTGTCTCACAAATAAATATCAAATAAAAACCTCACAAAAATAAGGTGTTGTGAAAATTAAATAATATTCATAGTGTCAAACCTTACCATTAAAAATCCATACTGTATGACTTTCTCTGTGTACTCATTCAGGGTGAAGTCACCAAGAGGGGGTTTTAACCGTTCCCTCTCCAAGAAATTGGACAACAGTTTTTTATTGGCTTCAAACATATCCTTTGCCTCTTCAGTGTTGACCCGATTAATTTTATTACAGCAGTCACATGGACAGGCATTGAATCGACAGCACCAATTAGGACGGAGTCTCCATAACTTTCTCAACAGTCTAAGTAAAAAAAAAATTAACAAGCTGCTTTTTTTTTGTTTTCAGTTAAGCATTGAAAGAAAATTTATCATTCAATTCTTGTCTGTTTTGAAAAAAAGAAGTTTCCATTGTTTTATTTGATTAAAGAAAAGGCCTTTTGAAAGACTAGTTTTCTTTATGCTATATAAACTTACGGAAGAATCAGATCCTTTAAAATTCTTGGGAATGGTCTGATTATCATAAGAATGAGGACTTGGAAAGATAGCTGTGACATACACGTCCCCCTGTCTCCTACACACTCATCAGTGTAACCAAATATAGAGAAACGCTGAAATGACACCATCAAAATACTACAATAAAGAAACATCTGTGTTCCACATACAAAATGGTAAAACTCAAATTCTGGTATTATGTCTTTTCTTGCCATCTATTTTTTCCTCCGTTTTGTCTTACAAAACATTTTTCTTTCATGGAGATTTAATTTGCCATGTACTTAAAAATAAAATGCCAATAACGAAACATCCATGAAGATGTGGTTGATTGAAACACAGTTCAAAGTTAAATGAATATCATAACAATGATAAGAGACTCAACTTACTCCTCTGAAGAATGCAATGTAGAAACAGGAGGCATAACTATTGACAAATTGAAAAGCAAACATTTTGGTGACTAAGGCATCATCATATCTGGTCTGTGTTCTGTGATTTTCTGGAAGAACAAACCAGAACTAGACTTTAAAAATTGCAACCAATTCATTCACTTATGAAACATTTATGCTTTTTCAGATTTCTTTTAATAACTTAAAACACTGGCACTTACCCCATTCAGTGAGCTTGAATGCCAGTATTTCATATATCTGAAAACAAAAGAAATGCCAGATTTGTCTGTTGATGTTTCCCTAAAATAACATTTACCTCAATACTTAAAGATATTGCTTACTTAATCTAGCATAGAAGAGCACACTGATAAAATATTGGACTGATTTTAACAAAAAAAAACCTAATACAAATGAAAACCTCTAATACTGTAAATAATGAGTGTAAACCAACTCTTATTCGGGTGTGAGAAATATCCTCGAGTTTCGCGACCTATGTTAACTCGTGAATAATGATCGCCACAAACCGTTTATTTTCTTTTGTATTTGTAGAGAATGTTTCCTCACTCGTGAAAATTAATCGTCGCAGATTGATTTCAAACTGACGAATTGCAAATAAAAGATGACATGAATAATAGTTGGTTTACAGTAGAAGAGTAGCTTCCATCTTTGCATAGGGTTAAGCTGAATTGTAGAGAATTTCTAAAATATGTTCATGAACATATTTAGTTTAACTATTCCAGCTGATATAATGAAGGAGTAAATTCTTATCTTTCTTAGGATAAAAATGGAGACAGCATTGAGTAGAGCAGATATAATGAAAAAAAATCCTTTCTTAGCTTTCCTAGGATGAGAATGGAGACAGCAATGAGGACAGTTGATATAATGGAGGAGCGATTTCTTACCTTTCCTAGGATGAGAATGGAGACAGCCTTGAGGACAGCTGATATAATGGAGGACTGATTTCTTACCTTTCCTAGGATGAGAATGGAGACAGCATTGAGGACAGCTGATATAATGGAGGACTGATTTCTTACCTTTCCAAGGATGAGAATGGAGAAAGCATTGGGAACAGCTGATATAATGGAGGACTGATTTCTTACCTTTCCAAGGATGAGAATGGAGACAGCATTGGGGACAGCTGATATAATGGAGGACTGATTTCTTACCTTTCCTAGGATGAGAATGGAGACAGCATTGAGGACAGCAGATATAATGAGGGGGTGATTTCTTACCTTTCCTAGGATGAGAATGGAGACAGCATTGAGGACAGCAGATATAATGAAGGAGCAATTTCTTTCCTTCCCTAGGATGAGAATGGAGACAGCATTGAGGTCAGCAGATATAATGAGGGGGTGATTTCTTACCTTTCCTAGGATGAGAATGGAGACAGCATTGAGGACAGCTGATATAATGGAGGAGGTGATAAGGCACTGAATAGCACTCATTCCTGGACAGTAGTCAAAAGTGATGAACAGACGATAAAGAATTACACCTGTCACGCTTATTAAGACAATAGACATCTGAAATAGAGAAATTATTGAGTAAAATGGTATTACTTACTTTATTAGTTTATTATTAGTCCCCTACCGGTGAAACCGGAGGGGACTATAGGTTTCCTCTGAGTCTGTCCATCCGTCTGTCTGTCTTTCTGTCTGTCCCTCTGTCAGTCTGTCCCACTTGGTTTTCCGCACTTTTCCTCTAAACGCTTGCAGATATTGAGCTGATTTTTGGTATGTGAGTGTATCTTGATGAGTTACAGATCAAGTTTGCATTTCGTTCCGCTTCAATGATTTTTGACGGAATTACAACCTTTTCAATTTTTAAGGGTTTTCCACAATTTTTTTCTAAACGCTTGCAGATATTGAGCTGATTTTTGGTATGTGTTTTTACCATGATGAGTTATAGATCAAGTTTGCATGTCGTTCCGCTTCATTGATTTTTGACAGAATTATGGCATTTTTAATTCTTAGCGGGAACCAGATTACACTTGCCGGTAGGGGACTAGTATTGCTAATGCAATACTCTCAGAATGCTTGTTTTATCATGAAACATGGGGCATATGTGTTCCTGGTTGCCAATATTTGAAAAGTGTGTAAAAAAAGGTATTATCAATAAAGATATGTGAAAGTGGATATTGTCTCTAATTTTTAGTGCTGCAATTGGACACCAAGCTTTTAGTTCTCTATAATACAGGAAGTTTCATTAATACCTTTCCCCATTACAACTGTGTTTAGAATCTTAACTTAACCCAGGGTCTGTCTGTCTATCCATCCATCTGTCCATCTATTACACCTTGTATCTCGAGAACTGGTATGAATTTGGTATTTTGGACATATAAACGTTGAATTCAGTTTTCCTGAATTTATTAAAACCTTCTACGTGGGATGTATTTTTATGTCAGTTTGTATTAGGGACAGATATTATGAAACACCCTGTATAATTTAATCCTAATCATAGTAACAGAGTATTTGAAACCCACTATTTCCTCTCTGAAAATTTTACATACACTTTGATTTATCTTTTAGGTATAAAATCTTCTGATCAATACACAAATCAATCAAAATCAAATTTTTTATATATTTATTACAAATATGAAAAAATAAAAGAAAAAAAAGATGTAATTACCATAAATAATAATGTAGAGGTGGAAACCATGTACTTGAGGATCTGTTTTTTAAATGGATAAAACCAGTTTGGTTCCTGGGTCACTGGGTCCTTCTTGACCTTTAACCCATAAAATTGAGGTCGATCAGGTTCATTGTGTTCGAAGTTATCTACATCCCATTCATAGGCCAGAGTGGCATTCTTTCTCTTCCACCGCTCTAAGAAAAGTGTTCCTAGTGACGAAAAACAATTTGTTTGTCTGTTTACTATCCAAGTTGAGCATCCTTGTAAAAGATGGCATTCTTACAAACATTTCATTTTTTTCTTTTACTTGGTAAACTAACTGTGCAGCAATAGAACATGAATGACTATGTATAAAGTCAAGTTGAAACTTGAAAATATTTTGAAATTCTGTATGGTCCAGGGCTAAAGATTCATCAAAGGAGGGATTTCTAATTCAATGTACACATTTTCCTAAATACATGTAACTCTTTACACTGTTCAATGAATATATGTATGCATGATAAAAATTTCCTCCCTTTTTTTGTGATAAAATTGAATGAAAATTGTTATTTCTTCAATCTCTACACTTGATTGATCTGCATGGTCACATACTTGCTGACACAAGCAAGTACATGATTGGATCAAAGATCTAATTTTAATTAGGGTAGAATGATTTTTGAGTCATCAACTCCTGTGTGCAAGAAACAAAATATTTCATTTATTTGCATTTCAGATACTGTATACAGGGTTATTTTTGCCTCATCTTATTTTCGCCCTCTTACACCTGCAAACAATTTTGCCCTGTTTTGAATTTGCCCAGACACAGTTTTGTTTAGGAAAAATAATGTCATTTTCTTTGAATTCGCCCCGTTTTAAATTTGCCCCGTTGCAACAAGGGTGAAGGGGGCAAAAATAAAACAGGGACAAAAATTTTTCTGTATACAGTAGTTGGAATAAATTTATGAAAAGTATAGAGGGGAAAAACTACAAGCTATGAAATACATACCCCATAAACATATGATCAATGCAAAATAAGGAGTGACATCGTTGTCAAATGAACTTCTTACTGTCTCCAACAGCGCCTGTACTTCTTTTTTAATTCTGTGTTAAAAAAAACAATTTCACTGTTTTAAAATAACATTATCACAGCTTAGAATAATATAAAACATGGCTTATATTAACACATAGCATGTCTTTGATTAATGTATCATGGCTTAGAATAACATGTATCATGATTTACCATGCATCATGGCTAAGACTAACTGTATCATGGCTTACAATAACATGCCATGATTTAGATTAACATATATCATGACTTTATTAATATGTATCATATGACCTAGACTTATAGAAACAGAGAGATACAGGTGGATAAAAACTTACCTGGTCTCTGCTGTATCATTAGCATAAACAGTGAATTTGGATTCATTTTCTTCGACACTGAAATGCAAAATCAGAACAAAAAGTTTCATCACAGCTCTTTGTATGATTAACAAGAGGCCCATGGGCCACATCGCTCACCTGAGCACATTGGCTAGGAAGAAGCAGAAATCAGTTTAGTATTGAGCGGGGGGGGGGGGGGGGGGGGACTTAAATTTATACTACCTAAGGAAGCTCCCATATCAATATTACTAATCATAGCTTTGTTGTTCTTAAACAGAAGAATTTTAAAGATTTTTTTTTCATATGTAAAACTCTGATTTCTCATTGTGACCCCACTCTACCCACCCTAAATTTGAATAAATTTGAACTTACACTCCCTGAGGATGCTTCTATAATAATATGACTAATCATGGCTTTGCTGTTCTTGAGCAGAAGATTTTTTCAAGATGATTCCTATATATTCTTATGCAAAACTTTGACCCTCTGTTGTAGCCCCCAATCTCTGGTGGTCATAATTTGAACAAACTTGATTCTACAATATCTAAGGTTGCTTCTGTATAAATATGACTAACAATGGCTTAGTTGTTCTTGAGGAGGAAATTTAAAGAAATATTTCCTATGTAACTTGTATGATCAGGTTCTTACAAGGGATATATAAGTTTTCCTTTTACTCTGTTTAATGATTGGAATGATTATTAGGACACCTCTGTCTGAGGGTACATGTATATCACACAGTCACACACTGTGAACAAAGCAAGAATGCTTTGTGGCAAGTTTGGTTGAAATTGGCCCAGTGGTTCTTGAGAAGAAGTCGAAAATGTGAAAAGTTTACAGACTACAGACAACAGATGGATGCCGGACACTTTTTGATCAGAAAAGCTCACTTGAGCCTTTGGCTCAGGTGAGCTAAAAAGTACAATCAATAGTAAAAAGGGCAATTTTTTCTCCAATGTATTTTTTACCATTACCTGAGATATAAACCATACAAGAATATCCCAAATCCCAGTAACATTGGGATCCATAGACTGCTGGTCATCTCTCCTACCCAGGCAAAGTACAGAGCTATCATCTCACCGAAATAGTTTCTGATTTTCCACAAAGGCTGGAACTTATAGAATACCGTCCATGTGTCCTGGAGGGCTTTACGGGGGTCTGTTTCCAGGGCCTCATGGGTTTTCTCCCCCTCCAGGTCCACATTTGCTTCAGTGAAATACTTGTCCTTGAGAATAGACTGGTCCTCTTTACATTCTGACTCCTCATGAAGGATGAACGAGTCAATGTAAACACCCTTCATAAGAAGGTAAGGTAAACCTGTGTAAGAGAATGAGAAAATTTGTTTTAGTAAAATAAAATAAAATTTGAGATAATTCCTAAATATTTTTATTATTTTAACATGATGTGATGAATCAGTTTGCTCTCATCATAATTTGCATAAACACTAAAGGAATTATGCATAAAATTATCACAAGAGCAAACTGTTTGATCATCACCATAAAACCAAAAAGAAACAGACAATTATTTACATTTATTTCCTATGTAGCTTGTAACATGAGATTTGATTGGTTAGCAAACTGGGTGTAAATTTCCATACATTCAGCTGAAGTTGGGGGATAAATAATGTGACATTACAATGAATAGTTTCTCTAGAACAAAAAGCCAATAACGTGACATCACTATGCATTTTAGCATGTAATATTAAATCTTATCTATAGTTTGATATATACCATAGATTGGACCTAGGTTAATATATAAGAAATAAATTCATTATTAGGTCCAATTAAAAGTATACGGGGGATTTCTCCTGGATTGTATTCCATACACCCTATGGCTGAAGGGTGTATGGAATACAACCCAAGGTAAATCCCGTACACCCTTGACTAAACCTGGATAACTTGAATATTATACCTGATCCTTTATTCAATAAAGAAATGAAATATTAATGTTATTTTTATTCAATAATTAGAAATTTGTCTGCCAGTCCCTCCCTGTCCCAGTGTATTGCTAAGCCACACACAGTGAGAAGGCCAATCAAATAGCCTCATGAAGATATAAAGCTATTTCCTTATTTGTATAAGTTTTATCTTGGACAAAGACATTTGAAAAAATGTTAATATTTATTAACTATACAATTAGAGGGATTCCAATGAATACAAAAGTCCAAGACATCAAAAAGATATAATAAGTTCTCTATGAAAGGTTTTATCAGCTGGTATTGTCCAATCGATTAGGATCAATTACTTTTCTGAATGATTAATCATGTCTGGCATTGCTTAAGGGGACAATACATTTATGAAATTGTTACAACTGTAATACAAAAAATGCAGCAACTGTAAAGTAATAACATAAAATGTTTGGAAAAAGATTTTTTTTAAAAATTTTAACAATAAAAACTATGAACTTCTTCTGATACCATTGAATGTTATTGGTTGTTTCCCTGCAACAGCCCCTTAAAGAAGAGTTATTTCTAATTATGAATTAAATGATCCAGTCATCAAATACATACAAAAACGAATTATTTTCAAATATTTCAGGTCCATACAAATTATATCAACAGTAATTTTACTCAGAGTATTTTTTACTTTAATTGTCTTTGAATCAGCTAGTATATTTGTGACTTGGTATTATAGTCCAAATTAAAGGGTATATTATCTTTATGAAAGCATGGGGGATGGGAGGGTAGGGGGTTGGGAGGGGTTGTTAAATGTGTATATCTTTATCACAAACTGCTAATCTCTGAACCACTTCGACTCAAGTAAAACTTTCTCTGACTTACTGTGTATTTTCCCTGGTATGTAGAGTTTCTCTTCAGTGGCATCAGCATGATCAATGACTGTGATAAAGAATAATCTACCATTAATACCATATCATACAATCATGAATATTACACATTTATCATGTTCTGCAAGAGAAGTGTTGGTAAAAGTCTGATGCCAAAGGAAAAAAGGTCCAGAATATATTATTCATTATTTGTAATATGAATATACAAGTATTTCTACAATTTCATTTCAATTCTGATAATTTTTTAATCTTTTTTTTTAAGGGAGGGTGTGTTTCTAGATTCTAGACAACGTGTCTTAATTAATTATAATAATTTTCAAAGACTAGACATAATCATGATTTATATAGCACAGTATATACCGGGGTAATACATATAATATATGTATATTGATAAGTTTATTGCAGTGAGTTCAGCAAAGCTTCACATAAAACCTTCTATTTCAGAACAAACAAATAAGCATCATACAAATTATGAAATAAGTATATGATATGTAGAAATAATTTCACATTTGGAGATTGTTTTAAATAAAAATTCACTCTAGTTGCAAGAAAAAAAAACAATGTCAGTAGTTTATGCTTAATTTCAATACATTTAGACATTTTATATACTACGGCACACTCTTTAAAACTCACTAAACAAATACATGTATACACATTCACTATCAACACAAGAGTTTTTCCATACAAAGCATTATGAAAATTCTACGCATTATTTGTTGCAATGAGATTTTTTGTAGAATGACTAATATTTGATTTTAAATGCAAATGGAATGTTTTGTTCTTCAAGCCAAACCAAACACAAATGCATGGAATCATTGGTACAATTTTCTTCCCCTGCTTTTCAACAGATACTTACTAAATTCATCATTTTCATCTATAGACAAAAATTAACACAAATGTAAATTAGTGCTTACCACAACAAAACTAAAGACAACACATAATACTTATTTAAAACACAATAAGGTACTGTTATATTTTGTGCTATATGATGAATTACAATTTGATTTTAATTAGTATTTTTTGAGAAGACAGATTTGTTACTTTCCACAAATATTGAACTGAAAATAAGAGAAGTATATTAAGGGTATTGTAACCATAAATTGTATGTGTGGACATGGGTTAAAAAGGAGAAAAAGTATGATACTGTTTGCTATAGATTATCTATCAGATCTAACAGTATATCCACCAAGAAATACATGTAACACTAATCAGTGTTCGTCAGTGCTCACCAATTTTTGAATCTTTCCCTCTGTCAGCTAATGCAGAAACAATTCACTTATTTTCCAGAAAAAATAACTTGCATAAAAAAATTGTAATAAAATATTGGTATCAGTCCATTTATATGTGATAGCTTTTGACTTCAATACAGCTATCAATTATTAAAGAGACACCAGTAGACATAACACTTCATTCTACCACCCCTTGACTCCTAAAAGGTCATTTATTTTAATAATAGAAAAGTTAATGGGTTCAAACCAAGGAAAAAAGTACAAATTTCTTTAAGGTTTGGTATCCTAAAGACACTATTTATCTATATTTTATGATGTACAAGTATTTTGTCAACACAAGATAATTTAGTGGAGTCACACTGCATCTGTTTAAAAAAAACACAATGGCTGTAAGCTTTCTCTCTAAAAATTCTTACTGAATTTCACTGAGTGTCAGTTAAACTAAGTGACATGTTTTTTACCAGAAAAGAACAAACATGTGAATTACAGGGTAACTAAAACACTATATTTTCTTGCATGTTGCTGTCAATTCTTGTGAAGGGTTTTTACAGTGTAGAACACACACTGTGATTATCTTCCACTTACTGATTTTGGTATCAGAGGTGCCATCTTTCTGTTTAGACCCAACACAGGGGAGACAAGTACAAAACCCAGACTCAGCATCCACTGTCAAAACAAGGATTTTATGTTCAATTTAATGTTCTGAATGCATTTAGAACCAGCACAATTTACCAAATTTAGTTGATAATTGGTAATGACAAAGCATCATCATTTAAAGCTTTATCTCAATTTATCCTTTGATATAAAGATGGTAATCAAAAACTCTATACCGTATATTCAGCTATAGATGGATACTTAATTGAAACATTTCTCCCAGCTTTAATGCTTATTTCATCTGAATAGTTCACTATGTAGAAAGCTTACCAATGTTCCATGAAAGTCATATGAGCTGAATGTTTTATACCCATAGGTCAATAACAAATCAATATAAACTGGCATGTCAAAAGTTCATAGATCTAAAGCTCATTCTAAACCAATTCACACAAAATCAGCAATACAAACTGGTATGTACCAGAATCTCCTTCAGAATGAACATACCTTTCACTTTCTTAGCACCGCCTTTGTCTTTCTTCTCATCTTTGGTTCTGATGTCAATGTTAATGAGAATGTGATCCACCTGTAACACATTTCATGCACACGATAAACTGAAGATAATAGTCTGAAAATTTTTAATCTTCTTACCCATAACTATATTGATTGATAGAAATAAAAATTCTATAATCTCAAAACCTTGCAGCTCCTAGCTGGGAGTTCCTGACTGTGTCTACAACTTACCAGCATAGAACGAATGGCTGGACGGAAAAAATGAGTGGGATCTTCATATCCTTCATATAGGTTAATTTTATCCATCATAAATGGAGCACTTACAAAATCCACTAAAAATAGCAAAATTTTAAATAATTCTTTAAATCATACACAAAGAAAATTTTAAATATTAAAATTTTGGTAAGAAAATTTCAATTTGATAGCTGTTCATATCTCATAAAGGACAAGGTATAGTTAAAGCAGAATTTGACCCCTTATTTGATATAAAAATCAAAACACAATTAAAATTGTGATAGTTTGCAGTTAAAAGAAATTCAAATGATGCCTGTTTTAAAATCAGCACTAAATTTGATTCAAACCATACACGAAGACCATAAGAGGTTGCCAGAGTAAGACATTTTATTGAATTTTCTCAATTCCAATGGAATTTCGTCAAATTTGAGATGTTTCTCACTTTGGGAAATATAGAGCACAAGCTTGCATGACTGAGATATTATACACAAAATGCATGTGATACTTCTGCATGAAATAACAAAATTCGGTAGATAGGCAAGCTTGTGCTCTCTGTTTTCTGAAACAAAATGTGCTTTAAAATTGATGAAAAATTGCACAAGATGAGAAAATTTGTAATTTGGCATATTTTGTGACCTTTGTGTAACCCATAACTTACACTCAATACTCTTTTTGTATGAGAGATGACCAGAGGTTTGTAATGATGAACTATAATTATTGCATCAACTTCTTATAGACACCCCAAACCAGGGATCAAAAAGGGGCCTTAACCTATCTTGTCCTTTCACAATATTGTGAATTGAATTCATATCATTTTTATCAGCAAATAGTTCATATCTTGTTATAGTCATCAATTGCATAGTAATATTATGCATGCAACTACATGAATACTTGAATTGACTATAATTTTTATGAATATGCACATTAAATATTCAAAATATTTTTCAGGAATCTATTGATAATGCATCAATATACCATCTGATATATAGACCAATCTAACATATTAGATTTCCTTTTGAGATTATTAGCCATTACCCTCTACATCACAAATGCTAATGAATAGATAAATTTGTTCAATATTTTTAAAGCACTTACTTTCATTATCTGTCTCAAAATATTTCTCAAAAAATTTACTGATGCAGTTCCTTGTTTCCTCTGGATAATTTGCACACTGTTAATGGATACAATTCCATTCAATGTTAATGTCATTTATACCATTCATTTTACAAACTGTGATTGCATTTCCTTTGATATTTTATTGTAAACATTTGAATCATATCATGCAACTTCCAGTATTGATGTCTTTGTTTGAAATTACTAAAAAAAATAAAATATTGAGGAAATAGGAGCATTCACGCTGAACATCAAACAATCAAAAACATTTCAGATTGAATTCTTTCTACTTTGGAACAATATATGAAGAATTAATTACCCCATGAAGTGGCATTTCCATTTTAACCATTTCTGCCTCTGCACAGAGTCGTTTGAAGGGGCAGTGTAATTTCACAAACACATTCTCCCCGATGACTTCCTTTTGAATATCGAACCCCTCCTTTGTCAGTGCTGCCTCAAACCTATCTCTCTTTTCCTCCTTTTTTCGTAACTCCTCTTGTTTTTCCTTATCATCTAGGTAATCATTTGAGTACTTATTTTTATGAACCAGCACATAGTCTATACGTTTTTGCTCCGGAATCAAGTTTGGACCCAGTTCTGTGTACCTTCGCTCAAATGCCTTCATCTGAGGATTGCGTTTGAGGTGACGTTTCCTTAAGTTGCGAAATTTGACAGTAGAAGTGACAGCAACAAAGGACCCCATTGGAGGATCTCCATCTGACTCCTCTTGGCTGTTGTCAGCAGACATGTTTGTCATGGTTAACCGACCCCCAGATTTGGTCATGATTCTCAGTCATCTATAAACAAAATAAATAAATTGGAAATTAAATCTCAACAAATACTCCTCTTAATCCTGGATTATTACAAGTCACTCATACCAAACAGATCTCCTCTACCTGCACAATAACACACTCATACAGTGTTATTATACCTTTATTGGTAAACTTTAATCTATGTAAGTATATCAATTAATGTAAAGTTCAAGAGATCTCTCCAGTGTGAAGTATTAAAGCATTCTGAAAATGAATTCCCATTTCAGCAGTTTCTAATAATTATCCTCACAAATCAAACTTTACACAGTGCACTTTTCCTGAGTCCTGAAATTTATCTTTTGCATCACATGCACAGTGAAAATGAAGAATGCTTAAATGACAATATAATTTTCCTAGAAATGTATAAATTCACAGCAATGTTTTAAAATGATACATCCGATTTTTCTTTATCACCATGCATAAAATATGAACCCTAGAACATCTTAAACCTTATTTGCCAACAATAAATAAAATCCCTCTGTCAACATGACAGTCCATTTACAAAGTATTATCAGCATTGCCATATAAACACATCTGGAAATAAGCCCTGCAAATACTGGTATTGATTTCTAGAGTTATTTCACCTGAGTTGCTGTGGATGTTGGAAGTCTGTGATAATGAAACCTGTAATTTTATACCTGACTGAAGTGTCGTTTAATCTGAAAATGCTTAATGTCAACTTATTTTTTCTCATGGCTTTGAACTTTTATCAAATCTCAGTTATTTCTGCAATCATTAAAACATTTTTAGACTTTAGGTGATAGGAAAGGATCTATATCAAAGAAAGCTAAAACTTTTTAGTATCTACAGTGGGTGAATATAATCTAAAAATAACCATAAAATGACACTCTGATTCAGATTTACAAGTTGAAAAAGTGCTGTTGATCTACCGTTAGGCATATTTAAATGGTTATGATATATTTATGCACAAGCAGTTATATTTTTTTTATTCAGGATTCAATATTGATCCTTGCAAACTGTTATCATAAGATTAAAAAAAAAAAAATAGAAAATAAGAATTTCTGCTGCATCCAAATATTGATATTTTGCTAATGAATCTAAAAATATTTGTATATGATCATATAAATAGTGTTATTTATACTGTACAGTATAATACTCTTGTCACTGATTGAGGAAACATATTAATTAACAAGGAAAGATTCATGCCATTAATGAAGCCTTCAGACTAAATTTCCCTAAAACCTGAATTCATATATAGAAATTTATATGTTCTGTCAATTAAAAGGCTGGGCAATTATACCAATATTCCGGTATATCATGGTATGTTGACAAAAAATATCACATTGCAATACATTTTTGTAATACCGATATACCGGCAAAATGCATGGACTCAGGAATTCTATCATAAAATATAAAAAAATTGTCAGAAAGGTTTGTGCATGATTATGCCAAAAGCTGTTGTAAGGGTGTATTTACGATTTATAGTTGCATAACCATAATTTAATCTACAAGATATCTTTTATTGGTAATATTAGTTATGTACATTCTACATATAAAAGGAAGTTAATATAATAAGCATACACCATTTTAAATTTTTGTTGAAAATATTGCAATACATATGGCAATATTGTTAAAAATAACACAATACGAGTATATTGCAATATGACATCTCTAGCCAATACCCAGCCCTAGTGAATTATAACAAAATGTACCTAACTCTGTCAAAATTCATTGACATTTTTTTTAAAACCTATTACTGTCAAACCATATACATGTATTTTCATTGTGTCAAATTTTCGTAGTTTGAGGAAAAAATATTGGTTCAAGGGGTTTTGATTGTGTGGATGAAGAAGTGCTGAGTTGTTATATACTTTTAAATGTAACACGAATTTGTGGGTCTCTTTATGACACGAAAACAATGAAATTAAACCGCCCCCTTCGAAAATAAGTGATTTCACAGTAAAATTATTTTCCGTGGACATTTTTTTTTCTCTCTTCAGCAGGCCAAACATGCTTTTAATGAATTGACGCTTACAGTGTAGTGATTTTCATTCCCTGTGGCTTTAAAATGTATTGTGAATTTAACAGAAATAATGAATTACTTTTATAACAAAGCAAAATCAACCATCCCTGGCACTTCCTTATAAATGTGTTTTAAATTACTGTATTCCTATGAGAGAAGAAGATATTTTAAGATTTATTTTCTTCTTTTGTTCCCTGGTCCCTATAATGGCTCCAACATGACACCCCTTGGACCATGATTCAAAGTAATCTGAATCAGCAGTACCTGAGGCTGCTTGCATATCAATATATGACTAATTATGGCTCTGATGTTCTTGAGAAAGCTTTCTAAATATTTTGTCCTTTATACATTCCCATGAAAAACTTTGATCTCCTATTGTGACCCCATCTAACCCCCTTGTGTATGATTTGAACAAACTTCAAACTGCATTACGATTTAGCTGGGGATGATTGCATATTAATAACTACTGTTAATCATAGTCCTGATTTTTTGAAAAGATTATCAAATCTAAGATCTTAAAAATCCCAGTGCTCTACAATATGAAAGGCAGCCACATATAAATTGGAATCTTTAATTTACTTTGTCTAGAAGCTTTCACTTAAGTTTCGTTTTTTCTGGCCAACTGGTTCTTGAAAAGAAGATTTTAAATAGCTAGCCCAATCCTATTTTTGCCTTTTTCTTGATTATCTCCCCTTGGAAAGGAGCATTGCAGTTTCTTGGAACAATTTTGAATACCAGGCTTTTACCCAAAATGCTTTGTGTCTGTATTGTTAGCAAAAGGTCCAGTTGCTCTTCAGAGAAGGAGTCAAAAATGTGTATAGTTTTCTGATGAAAGGTAAGAGAGAGAGAGAGATGGATGGATGTGAATAGTAAGAAAAGCCCTCTTAAGTTTATAACTCAAAATGAAAATGTCATCATTTAGATGAATTTATCCCAATTCTTATTCCCACTACTAAGTACTGAATAATTGAATCAGTTAGAAGGAATCATCCATCAAAATTCAAACTTCCAACAAATGAGATTTGCTGCATTTAAAGGATCATTAAAAAAAATTTTTTATTAAAAGTAAATTATTTACCGGTATCAAATAAAACATCTTAATTTACAAAATTTGTCTAAATTCTGTCATCCAATAGATAGTGAGTGGGAAAAAATTGTTCTTTCTTCTTAACTTTGATCTCCTTCTGATTCTTGGATATTCAAATCAGCATAGTTTAATAAGTTAAACTTCTGATTACAAGGTATCTGTATCACACTAGAGCACTACATGTACTATTCCAATGCTAATAGGCTGCTAATATCAAATTCAGAAATATCTTCATATAACAAACAGGACAAAATAGAGGATCTGCTCTGTACATGTATATGTTTTCTTTCATAATCATTGACTTAGTCACCTTGAAGTTTCTATCTATCATTTTAAAGTTTGGCAAGAAAAAAAAAAAATATAATCAGAATGTAAAGCTGTGACAGAGGGTCCTATAAAATTATGAATTCTTTAAAAATTTGTCCACATGTCTAATTTTGATATTGGTTAGTAAAATTAATCATATTTTTAACTTAAATCCTAAGATAAAAATAGAAAACACTTCATAGAAAGTGTAAAAAATATTGAAAGGGGGGTATTCATTCAGTGGAGGCATAAAAATACCATAGAGTTAAATTCCATAGTCCATACTTAATTAATAATTTATTAAATTGATCATGATAATTCCAAATCTCTATATAAGAAAAGTCTGCAAGAGTTCACAGTATTTAGGTTTTCAAAATGCATATTATACAGTTTTCAGTTCTTGGTGATTTTATTATTACAAGTTCCAACAAACAAGGAGCCTGGAGTAGAAAGCACCAGCTGAGCACTTACCCATGCACTGCAGATGGAATATTTATGAAAACTTATCCTAAGATGTCACCATCACTTGTGGATTATATTTAGCATTACACTAAAATTTGATTAAGTCATATTGTCTTATCAAATCTTAATGAAATTACATGACAGAATGCACGTTGCGAAATATGTCGTATTGTTTATATTCAAAGTATAGTTACCAAGTACGCGGTTATCCTCCTTCTCATTGCCTTTCATTTTCTAAATCTCGAGCCCGATTATATATACAAACAAGAAAATCAATATTCATGACGTCCCTTGTACCCTGTCATTTTTCTAAGATCTCTTAATTACGAGAAAAAGATCACAAGCATGAATCGAGGGTGTTTTTGAAATCAAGAAATCCGGGATATTTCGCGCCAATTCTGTACCGCCCTCAGATGGTTCGCCGAAATGTTTCGCGCTAAAATCGGCGCGAAACATCTCACATTATTATTACTTCATAAAATTAAAGTCAACCATTATAAACATGTAAAATTATTTCACAGTTATGGAAAAATATTTTAATGCAGTGCTTAAGCTAAGAATTTGCCTTGTCGGAAGAAACAGAGCGTAATTAATTAACATTTATTATTAATTTAAAGTATTTTGTTTTTTGAAGCGTCATCCCAAGAAATCCCGTCCGATTTAGCTTTGAGCTGAACTCAGTACAAGTGCTATTAACGCTAATCACCGATATTCCCCTAAAAGTGATTCGAGACAATTTATGGCAGAATCTAAGAGAGGTGGATCTAAGAAAAAAAATTACTTTTACAAATATTTTCTTCGGATGTCATTGATAATTATAGCATTTATTTCCTTTAATATGCTCAATTATTTTGCTACAATGCGTTCTTCTACTTTTTTGCATGTGGAATTTATTTCAATTTTATTTAGAATTAATTAAATTAATCTTGAAATTTAGCGATTTCTTTTTTCTTATAGCCTTAGAATATTTTTAAATCTAAAGAGAATCCATAGTGTGCAAGTCCCTCTAAGACACCGCGAGTTACCCCATACCCTGCATATTTAACTTACCCCTTGATCAAGGTATCACACCGGTAATTGTTTTCACTATGTAATTCTATATAGAATAAAAAATCATTAAAAATCAGGTATTCGAATTCATGAAAAAATATTTAGCAGGAAGTGTTAAACGTTACCAGTCACATCAGCTGACACCAAAAAATAGGGTACCTACACGGCATTTTCTGATTTTTTCCATCCGCAAACAGGAATACCCTCAAAACCACGTGTATTCAATGTGTTTATAAACATCCTGTGTGCACCCCAGGAAGTGGCCTCCTATGCCCCGAAAGAAATAGTTCCTGTCAAAAACCTTTAATATTTTACAAAGTACATAAAATATCCTAAGCACAGATACCAAAAATGTAAAAATAGAATAAGGGAAATTAAAAAATTTCTCACAATAAAAAAAATATTTCTTTATTATGTATGGAACTACAATTGAATAAGTTCATTTTGATTGGTCAATTACCGGTGTGATACCTTGAAGGACCTTTGAAGTTGTCAGATTTTTTTCATTTTTGCACCTGAGATTTCTTAAATAACTGTCACTAACATCCTGAAGTCTGGGGTTCTAATTCCCATTATTGCTGGAGATATGATGCATTTATCTCCCTTACTCCAGAGCAGTCAAGAATACACACTGAGCACTCTGACAGAAGTTTTTTGTGCATATTTTGAAGCAGAATTTCAGCCTGGCAACCAATTTTGTATCTGTGGAGAGTATATGCACTGTTCTTCACAACAAACAAAAAATAATTCACAAGTCTGAGACCATTATGCAATTATTACATAACAAAATTGCATTTTACCCTCCTAAGAATAACAGAATTTACAGAAATTGTTAAATATTAGGCTGATAATAAAATCTGCATCTGGTCAATTTATGTTCCAAATAAAGCCTAGGAACTTGTCTACAACCTATGCAGAAGTTTATCTAAAAGCTGTGTTGTAACACAGGGCAGTCCAAATGATATCAGCATCTGGGGAGGTCCTGGACAGCTCTGACACTCCATTAAACTTGCTTTGATGATAAGAAAATGGAGAAAACAATTCAGATGTAATTTATTGTTGTGATTTATGTAACTGGCTTTCTCTGCAGACACAAATTAGCCATGAAATTCCAATTGAACATACATAATTATCCTCTTTTCATTGAATTACTCAGGAATTTCAAAGGTGTTTGATGAATTTGCATGATTAATTCAAGATTACAGCTTTTTGTTTCACCAAATTTACATAAAAATTCAACATTTAAATTTGAAAATATAAATCTTAAACATTTTTATGGATCTTAACACTTTTAAATGTGAATAAATGCAACAAAGAAACTAATATCAGGCCATCCTCCATGATTCTTGGAGGTGGGTTGGTGTACAAAAACTGCTGATAAAATTTATAGGAAGTGACAAAAGAAGAACAGGGCACTTTATTAGCTGAATTATGGTTATTCTGATATTTTGATTGTGTAAATATGTCAAATTTCTTCATCACTTTAATTTGTAATTTATTAATATTTCAGTACATTAATGTGCTTAACAAATCATGCTAAAATAAACATCCTGACTGAGACTTAATTTAAAAGAGAGGGTCAACACCTACATAAAAGTGGTCAATTGATTGGTCAATTACCGGTGTGATACCTTGAGAAGAAGGTAAACATGGCCTATTTACACCCTTCTTACTACGCATTCAAAGGCAACATTTCTCAATATTTGAAATTTTAATTCTTTTCCCCAGACACTCTCCTTCCCATCTATGCCCTAAAATCAGCCCATTCCACCCCGTATACATCCGAAGACATATTTATGAAAAAAAAACAGTGTTTTTATATGGCACTACTTGCAATTGTAAAATTAGTAACCTGTGATACACTTATACTTTCTAACGTCAAAATAAGGGTTACAAATTCAATCATTTATTTTAATTTCCTTTTTATTTTAATTTGTTTATTGTTTACTCGTTTATTTTCTATAATTATATGTTTCATTTTAAACTCGTTATTATTATTGAGCACGTAGAAAATTAAAATCACCCCCCCAACCCCCCCCCCAACCCCCGCAATGAAAGGCCTTATATTGTTCTCTGAAAATAAAGTTTTAAAGCTTTAATTTTAAATCTGAAAAAATGTTGGATCCTTCCCTCAACAGTGCTGACATCATTTGTCTCGCATCACTCTCATGGGTAATATAAAGATTAGCGTTAATTGCGCTTTGATTGAATTCAGTCTAAAGCTACACCGGAGAAAATCAAGAGAATTTCTTCCCATGTTTTGTTGAACAATCAATGTACCCCCTATAAAAAGTACAAATATATTCCAGAACAGAATTGGCGCGAACCATCTTGGGGCGAATCATGCACGGGTGCGAAACATCCCGTTACCGATTTAAGTTCTGGGACCTCGTGCCTCTGTAAAATTAAAAAAAAAAGTCTTGATAAAACTTGCGTAATCAAATTTATACTAGCTATTAGTCTCTGGTATTTCTCAATCATGTCATTTTTAACTTTATTATCCCCCTTTCCTCCAATTTGAAATTCTGGGTCTGCTAAGATAGAAATAATAATTATTAAATTGTTCAATCATGATAATGATATCAATGATACTAAAATGTAAATGTTGAGATATTCTTTAATTGGAGAAATTAATTTGCTCAGGGGACCCTTTGTCTCCAAAACCCTTAAACTGTGAAACTCCACGATGGTTACAGTGTTGTAATGTAATTCTTATATTAACGCTTTACCATTAAGCTCATTTTTCCAACCTTTAAACCCATTTAATTATCTAAATTAAATCAATAGAATGAAAGCTAGAAAGCAGATAGATATTCCCAAAAATAAATTTGCCTCTCGCTAAAAAATCCACTTATACGGTAGTAAATAAATACAAGAATTGTGGATGTAAAGATAAGTAAACTGACATATACATAATGATGTCCATGAAACATTTTATCCCCCCCCCCCATGTGGTAGTTATGTGTCCTCAAAATGTATCTGTAGTGCATTGAACTAATATAAAATAATTATCATTACATGAAAACGAAGAAATTTCTGTATTTCTTTAGTAAATACCCTAAGATGATTTGTCTCTGAACTGCAGCTGTACAAATGGATACAATTCTTTCATTTTCACTTCTTTTGGTTTTCATTGAGCATGAAATGATGATTCTTGTGTACTTTGGTCGAAGAGTATTCACTCTTATTTACATTTACGAGACCTTTTCTCGTAATTACGTGACCTTTTCTACATGCTCTGTCATTAAAGTATAACTTTGAACTGTTGAACATTTTAAATGCATGACCACCCCCCCCCCCCATGATATCTGATAATTTATGTTACCTATGGGCCTTCGTACCAAAACATCATATCTCGGATCATGCCGGTGGAGCTCAGGGATATTGTCCTCTTGGGAGGGGTTAGTGTGGCACATGCCTGGCAATTGTGTACGTATTCACAAGATTTTTGATATCACAGGGGCCTGTCACGAACAATCTTTCTACTTTCTTTTTGACCACCCCTACACTATAAAATACGTGTATTTAACAGTAGGGTAAGAAGATTAATGTGACGACCCCCTGTGATGATATGTCATTTACAAGATTTAGTCTAACTAGATGTACATACTTGGCTGCTGTAAAATGCAGACAGACAGACAATAAAAGCTACATTCAAGAATATAATAACCAATGACCGCTTGGCCCAGTTCATTATAATATTAAATTTATTATATATATATATATATATATATATATATATATATATATATATATATATATATATATATATATATATATATATATATATATATATAAATTTGAATTTGAACTAAAAAGAGATTGCTTGTAGTTTTAAAAGAGCTAGGTGACTGTAAAATTTAAATGACTTTCAAAAACTACAAAGTAAAATAAAGTTCTATTTTCTAACCCAGGAGATACAGTATGGAGACAAATGAGTGAAATATTTATAAATTTTATGTCGTTCCCTTTATCTCATACGTATGGATGATACTACCCATGAGATAAACCTATGCTTTATCCACACGAGGTGCTTTATCAATAGAGCTTTTAGCAATGCGTTGTTTACCAGGTGTATTTAAAAAAAAAAAAACAGGTTTGCACCAAGAGCACACGATTGACATCACAGTTACGTCATTAGTGGTCGAGTCATACCGTTTAGGTTTGAAAATTAGTTAAAGACTATAATACGAATATTTGGAATAAATCAGTCACAAATGTAAATATAAGTAATAATTAAGATACATGTATCATTTTTATTCTTTAAACATTTATTGTCACAGTGATAGTTATAAATGGGTTGGTACGTGATCAAGTCTACCACAAAGCCCTTTGGGCTTTATGGGATTTGATCACATGACCAAACCGTATTTATATTCCGAAAATTGTTTAAAAACATAATTTATTTCTTAAAAGATGTTTGCATTTATATTGTTTGAGATGTATTGTGCTTTCACAGCTAGATTTGCAAGAAGAGTTGGTGCTGCAAGAGGCAAGTTTAAGGTGAATTTTCCAGCAACAACCGGTAATGAAGACTTTGAAAGATATTACAGGGCTCAGTAAGTACAGCTTAATTGTTTTTTAGTTGCATAGATGCTTGCTGTGGCGCATCCAGAAATTTCAGAACGGAGGTGTGGGGGTTCAGGTTCAGTTGGTGGTCTGGATTGAAGCCCAATGGGTCCAGAGTGAAGCATTGGTAGGGATCGCAGGGGGTGACGCACATTAATTGTGTGACAAAATAAGACATTTATAATTAAGTGTTTTGGACATGTATATTTTTCTATTTTTGAATTTAATTCTGGTTATAACAGGTATTTGATCGAATAAAAAAAATACTCTATATTATATAAAATTGGGTTGCCTACGTCACAAAAACGTAATGATCCGCCTGACGTTGTACAATTTGAAGTCATTGGCAATCATCTTTATTCTTACACTAAATGAATGAAAATTTGTGGTTAATAAAGCGTAAACTGCCCCAATCCAGTTTATACCGTATAAAATAGGTAGCTATTAAATTCATTCCTTGAATAAATGTTTAGTTTACATTTGTGACATTAATATTATGTTAGGGTCGGGGGACGGGGGGGGGGGGGGGGTGAGTTCTGTCCAAGAAAGACTTACATATTTTAGTGTGCTGGACAAGTATGATACGTATTTTGTATTTCTGAATAAATATTTGGTTTAAATTTGTCATGTTAATATTATTTTACAACACAATGGCTGCGTGACAAAGCAAACTCGTACTAGTTAACTGATGTGCTTTATCCATGACAACACCAACAAACTTTGTGCATCCGATTCCATTTTTTTTTCACAAATCACTTTGACCTGATGCAAGGAATAATAAAAGATTTAAGCTGGGCATTTACTGAAGGAAATGATATTTTAAAAAATTGCAAAAGTTGTCTGTTTCTATGGTAACTTGGGTTGATGATTATCATCTCTGAGTTTATTAAGAGTGTCCAAGCCATCTGCATGAACCTCCACGGACAAAATTATAAGTGCATGGGCAATAACCATGGGCGGATACAGGATTTGTGATTAGGGGGGGCGTGGATAACTTTGTTCAGGCAGGGGGTCTGGCGGCCGCCTTAAGGCCCCCAGTGAGTCCAGGGCGATGCTCTGGTGGGGGCCCAGGGGGCGAAGCCCCCGGAAGCTCCTGGGTTTTCGTGTATTTTAAGAGTAAAACCAGGCACAATAATAGGGGTATTGGTTAGTTTATATGTACCAAAGTTTGGCATTATTAATACTAGTCATATCGTACTTTGAATAGAGGGGGCCCAGGGGGCGAAGCCCCCGGAAGCTCCTGGGTTTTCGTGTATTTTAAGAGTAAAACCAGGCACAAAAATAGCGGTATTGGTTTGTTATATACCAAAGTATGGCATTATTGATATTAGTCATATCATACTCTGAAAATTTTAGGGGGGGCGTGCGCCCCCCACGCCCCCCTTAAATCCGCCAGTGATAACAATAATTGTTTTACCTTTTAAAATTGTTTCCTCCATAGAGTCTTATATTTCCAATGTTTTACCGAGCGGTCTAAAAATTCGATGTTGGACCGCGGTCTGTGGAATGTTTGACCAGGTGATGACATGTTGGACGGGTATTGCGTTTTTACGTGAAACTTTTATCTTCAACATAGCTAGCGGGATCAACTGTACCCATGCAATATATATGCAATATATATATATCAGAATTTTGTCATCTTTATCGCAAAACATGGAAGCCAGTGCAAGATACGTCTTAATAAAAAGTAAAACTTATAGCAAACTACGTATTGACTGGGTTCTCGGGCAGAAAGCGTATTTTGTAGAACCTTTTACTCAAACCATTGCAAAAACATTCACGGGCAAAATTATTGGTGGCGAAAAAACAATATGCCGCCCCGACTTCGTTCATGGTGACGTTATACGATATATATGATATATATATAAAATTATTTTGCAGAGGGTTGTATTTTTTGTTAATGTAATAAGAAAAAGTGCTTGTTTTAGAACAAACTTTTTAACGAAACACAGCTTATTTTGATAACTTAACAAATCACATATATAGTCTTCAAGATTTACAATTATTTAATTATATCCATTTCATACTTTTTTTTCAAGAATGAACACTTTGGAATTCTTCCCCATATTTTCCACTACTCTATGGATGGGTGGACTGTTTTTCCATCAAGGTAAATTTTTCCGAGATGGCAGCATACTTTACAGACTCGTATACATTTATCATTATAGTTTGGATTTTATTACAATACTCTTCACCTTCTTGTCAACTCTGATGGTGTATTCTATTTACAGTACCTGCTGCTATTGCTGGGGTTGTGTATATATATGCAAGACAGAAGTATTTCAATGGCTACATTACAGTCCCTGAAACGTTCTACTTTCCCACTTGAACGGTGAGCGAACGCTGAACGAACGGTGAACGAACGCTGAACGAACGCAGAGCGAACGGTGAGTGAACGATGTGTGAACGCTGAACGCAACTTGGTGAACGATGTGTGAACGGTGAACGGTGAGCGAACGCAGAACGCGAACGGAGCGCAAACGCGAGCGCAAAGTGAACGGTGAACGAACGGTGAACGCAAGATGAACGATTTATTCGGAATGCCTCTGATCTTTTCCTTGCATTGAAACTATTCTATTGTGTTCTAATGCATGGTGCTAAAAAAAAATAAATAAAAAATAAATAAATAAACAAATCAATGAAAATTGACCTAAGAAAGACGATACACGCACATTAAGTAAAATTATTAATTTAAGTTTCTTGAAATATTTTCTGCACGTATGTACGATGTTTAAATTCAACTTTTTAATAACACGATTTTTATCGCTGTAAAACATTGTAATTGTTAACGAACGCTCTAGTATAACAGATGAAATTAATCTAGTTGTAAAATAAATATGTTTATTTTTATTTGATATATAAAGCCATTGCAAATAATGTGGATTTTAGAAGAGAAAACTACGGACTTATAGAATGAATTACAACGGCTGTGACAACCATACAAGGGATTCCGTGTAAAATAATGAGAAAAAAAATTTACAAAGGTATGTGGACCTATTGCATAAATACACTCGTATTTTAAAATCTTAATGCAATAATATATTTATGTGTCAGTTTTATTTTTTTATGATGATTTATTGAGCGGACTTCTACATGTATCTGTAGACATTTCCCGGCCGTGATTATACTCGGACAAGATGATACAAAGAGGCAATCATATTATTTGTTATATATTAAATTTTCACAACTTGATATTTAAGTAATATGTTGGTATAGTTTTTATTAAACAGACAAATGAGAGAGAGAGAGAGAGAGAGAGAGAGATTCGGTTTTAGCCCCCCCCCCTCCTAAAATGTTTGCACCTATATCAAACAAAAATTCTAATTCTTTTCTAAATATATCAGGCAGTGAAAGTATCCATTTTTTTTTTATCAACAAATCCATTTGTTTTACAGTCATAATCGGTTTTTATTTTCCTGCTTCAAGTTCACACGAAGTCCACGTGCTTGACCTGTCAATCAAAATCATTCGACACTGTGCAGGTGTGAAAGTCTCGTCACACCGAAGGCAAAGTGTTAGTATTTCCAAGAAGTTTTAACATTTTTTCTTATCATTTCTAGATCTGATTCCAACATTTCTAAAAAAAAAAATAAAATAAAATAAAATAAATAAATAAATAAAATACATTGGGAAGAAACACTTGGAATGATTAAGCCGCTTGAATTTGAAACATACTCCCTGCCAATTTAAAATACATGTATCACCGCCGGCACATGTATATTTTGAACTACTATTGTTTAATGAATTTGTTTAGATGCATGTTTGTTTTGAGACTGAAATTTATGTGCTGCAAAACACATTAACTTCTTTTTAAATGTTAACTAAAATGTACTGGAAATACTAACTTAGTAACCGATTTAGGAGAAAAGGGGGGGGGGGGCTCTTAATAATATCGAATGACAAACATAAAGTTACGGTGAAAAATATCATTACCGGGGAATCACCTTGGTTATATAAAAGATAATCATGTTATAAAGGCATTTCTCTCTCTCTAATTAAAGACTTTATATATGTAAAGTAGAAAAAAATTCTTTAATGTATTACATTTTAAACAAATATTTTTTTTAACCACACTATCAATTTAATTCGCTCTAAAGATATTTAATTAACTGGATATCCGCAGTACTGTTTATCATTCTCAGAACAAATTCTAACATGTATTTCTGTATTATTTGAAAAAAATGTGATAGAAATAAATATTTTCGTATTTTTGTTGCAGGTGGTAAATTAATTGACTTCGATTACTATCTATCCATTTACGATTTGTCGTCTTTAACATAAAAGCAAAATGTTGCAGTACTTGAAAGTATCAGTATTTTGATCGTATTTAGATTTAATTTTTCAGCATCGTTCTACATCGGTACATACATGTACATGTACATGTACTTATAACAACATTGATTTTCCACATAAATTTTATAAATAACCTAACAGATAAGTTACAATAATAAAAATAAATATTGTAGATAATTTTTTTCCCATGAAATAATGATTTTTTAAACACTGTATGTTATTTATTAAATTCAAAACCTGTAAATCCTTACTTAAAAAAAGATAAGTCCTTTCACTTCGGAGTTCCGAATGACACTGAAGACTGAACGATAAGTGAACGCTGAACGCAAGGTGAACGCAAAATGAGCGAACGAAGAGCGAACGGTGAACGCTTTGTGAACGGTGAACGCGAGCGCACGGTGAACGCTGAACGCAAAACTGTGAACGGAGAGCGAACGGTGAACGCACGGTGAACGAACGGTAAACGCACGCTGAACGAACGGTGAACGAACGGTGAGCGAACGGAAAAATGGGAAAGTAGAACGTTTCAGGGACTGTATCAGTGTCAAAGACAGGTAAATAGTCATATACATATACATGTGGTAATTACTAGTAGTCAATGGCAATATTCATTCCATAAAGAAAAAAGTAACTCAAAAATATTTATAAGAGATTATATGTATGACCATTAAAAGCTGTTTCAATGTTCACAGAGGGTGTTTTTTAACAGATTTTCCCTCCCAAAGCACACACATTTAGTAATATACGTTGCTTGATTTTACATCATCACTTTAATATATATACAATTTTGTATATATTGTGATTACATTAAATCTCTGTGGCTAAGTAATTATAATAAGAGAGGCATGCCATTAAAACTGCGTTATATACAGTTTTCACAATTAAAGTTATTAGTGAGATATTTGTTCCAGGTTGCCAGGATTTAAGCTGAGTGTGAGGAGTATCATTGCCCTCCTGGGAATGTGTGTCTTAGGGTTCAGCCATCTTGCCATTGAGACCTTTACAGGAATCAACATTAGGGAACAATATTTGCAGCAATACCTCAAGTTCTGAGCCATTTAGATGAAGTGACCCATTGTTTATTAAAATGGATTAATCTTAGGGCCACAACAACAAAAAATGTAAACTGAAACAATTTATTAACAAAATATCGTAACTTTTATGTACTGGTTTCATGTTTTTACACATTTTTTTGAAAATAAAGTTATTTTTCTAGAATTTTCTTTGAACCATATATTGCTTTTAAATTGTAAGTGAAAATGTTTAGCAATGTTATTTTCCCCACCAACACAATGCACCCCCAAACAAATTATTTTTACTCTTTGTAACTAAACTGTACAATTGACATGATCTCTCCTTGAACTGTTCAAACATATTTCAGAGCAAAATCATTTACATGTAATTCTTTTCAAAGTTTAATAATATAATATTTTGAAAATAGTAATTATTCTATTTACAGGATGAAACTCTGCAATTCAGTTAACTGAAAGGTCACTGAATAGCAGAACTCAGTCATTCATTTATTTTCCAAGATCATTCAGTTGACTGAATTGTGTTGGTTCATCCTGCAATTTACTTCAGGGTATATAGCTTACTGAGCAGATTACAATGCTCACATTGCATATGAATATAAGACAAAATCTCATATGAATCACATGCAAGTAAGCATCTTATGTGTTTGGTCTAGAGAGAGCTTATGGTTAATTGGTAATGGGCCTCCTTAGGAGAGCTTAACCTCAACATTTTTTCATAAAAATATTGATCAGCTACATATAAAAAATAAAATTATCACACATACAATGTATGCATGTATAATATATCCTTGGTCCAGGTAGTTCCAGGTAATGCTTCAAGTTATTTGAAAACGACAATATACTCATTAGGAAAATACAGCTCAAATGCAGCATTTGTAACATTAGTGGTTGCAATCGTGTATTATTTTGGACCTATAACTATCCCTTTGAACGAAATATATGGAGATAACGAACAGTATTCATTAAACATTACAAAATAGGTGCAGAGCAAACACGGACCTCCAAAACATCAGAGGTGGGATCAGGTGCCATGGAGGAGTGAGCATCCCCTGCCGACCGGTCACACCGCCGTGTGCTCCTTGTCATGATCGGAAAATAACGGAAAAATCCGTCGACAATTCAGTGTGTAAATAATGGCCTAACAATTAATATGAAAAACGTCAGTCAGCATTTGACTCAATGATAAATTGTATTTGCTGACAAGGTCATTGTATCGACCATTGAACTTACGAAATGATGACTTTAAACGAGATTGCTGATTAGGAACTTGTACATACACAACCCCAGCAATGGCAGTAGGTACTGAATAAAAATGCACAAAATACATCTTGCACCTCAATAGTTGTCCCATACTAAGAATCGAGATCAAATAAAGCATCTGGAGAAAAATTGGTAGCAAGCATTCCTACAAGTTTGGTACATTTGGGGCATGAGCAGTAAGTTACTTGTGAATAGACAAGCTCCAAAAGTGCAGCATCCGAAGCATTTCGAAGAAATGTCTCATCCCTATCAATTGATTAATCGAGTGATTCTCAGATCTGATTTTGCTAATGGTTATCTGTAATAATTACTTACCTATACCCTACACATCCCGAAGCCAAAGTAGGTTTTAGGGAAGCAGACGTTGTTGTACAAAGTTGTATAGAGATGAAACAGGATTGGTGCATAATAAATTTGTTGATTTTTCTGATAATCCGCTTATTTCAGGTGATAAATGTTGGGAATGAGTTGAGATGAATAGTTTAGTGTAATTGAAATATACCAGAAAATCAGAGCGCGCCTGTTTAGTATATACGGAAAACTTGCAAGAGCGGGGGTGGATCACATGTAGGTAAGATTAAAAGAAGCAACTGTTCGCGTTAAATAATTGCGATCATAATAAATTACATTCACACATATGTAATGTAAGAAGAAAAACGGGACATTGAAAGCATGGACTGTCAATACCGATTTTTTTATATATATTTTTTTCTTTTACATAAACTATTTAGTTATAGATAAAATGAAAATAAATTCCATATGCAAAATAGAAGAAGAATGTCTGGTAGCAAAATGAGGGATCATATCAAAGAAATGAAAAGCAATTGATGACATGTAAAGAAATTTTAGATAGAAGGTCTATTTTATTTATCCCTATATCTGTAACGCAATTTTGGGCACTTCCGAAGTTGTTGTTTTTGCCTATAAAATTCATCACTTCTAGGTACATGGAGCAATGACTATTAAACGTTCCAGAATGTTTCTATGGGGTCTTGACTACAGTATAGTAAAAAAGTTTGTATCGATCCGAGGTCTGATTTAAAATTTAGACAAATATTCTACTGTAATGTCGCCGTTGCGCTTAGAAAGGGGGGGGGGGGTGGAGTTAGATCTGCCTCATGCTCAGCAATTTTCTTTGGCTATGTTTTGGCGTGAATTTAAGTCAATTATTATTACGCTAAAAATTGAATTATCCGTACTACAGTGTACATATCATCATTTATGCAATAATAGAGTGCATAGCGTATGGTTTCTGCAGTAATATGCTCTGCATGGAAAGTTATGATTTCAATGAGACACATAACGTCACAATATTGATGACGTCACAAAAGTGAGCTGTCATACGTTCTCAGTTGTCAACAAACATTGTAGTGAAGGAAAAGGCAGGAAGATTTTGGTAAGATTATCTGTGATTAATTTAGAAGTATAATTATCGTTTTAGTTTGAGCTGAAATTTAGAACGCATATTTAACTCCAAAATTAGAAATCGATTTTTTTTAGAGTAATCAAGCTCTAAAATTTTGTTTCACTGAAAATATACCAGGGACTGAGGAAGGGGGTATCTATTCAATTTCAGAACATACTTTGTTCTTTTTCTTAGCTGTGCGTTGAAACTTTTTTTTATATTTTAGAAAACAGAGGATAAGTTGCAAATACTGAAATTCGATAAACCGTGGTATGTTATGGTGGAGGACCATGAGATGTGTCAGGTAATTTCAGACTACTTGTATGTCATGTATTCTAACATAAAGACAATGTTTACAAACTTGGAAGGATTTGTGTGGTTAAATGAGGAATGCATGAAATAGATCTGTCATAAATATCCGATCAGCAGTCAGGCATATGTATTAGATTAAGTCAAAAATAAGCGCTCAAATAACTTTGAAGATCTTTTTAATTTTCACTTCATGAAGTTTAATATCAGGCAATCTTAAGTGTATCGCAAATATCGTACAGAATTCGAAAAGCGAAGACTGTAATCTATCGAACACCTCCTAGATATTTTATTGTACTTCACTACAATGCAATCAATCAATAAAATGAAGTCCATTTTTGTTTTACACTATGGTATTGAAAATAAGGTGTAAAATAACATATTTTCTAATATAATTTTATTTTTTGAAAAGTTTTGAAAAACAAACTGGATGGCATATTTTCATTCACATTTTCTTATATGATTGTTCTCTTTCATATGAATCTAAATTAACAATGCAGTAATAATGTCGAATGATTTTTCGACAATTTTTTTCATTGCTGTCTATTATTCTATGCAACGCCTAGTTTGGGTATATGAAAGATTGAAAAAGAGAGAAATCTCGTGTTTGACTGATGAGTGTAAATTTTAAGAGTGATGCAGATAAGCACCAGGAAGGATAAACAGAATATATTCTGATAACAGTACTTAGAGCTAAGTTCTCATCAAAGAACAGTTACTTTTGCTGATTTTTTTTTATTGAAAGACTGATATGGATATATGCGAAACATCCCGAGGAAAATTGGAGTGTCGAGTGAAGTCCTTTAATTGCAAGGCAATTAATTTGGCTTTTAAATAAAAATATAACTGTCCGACATATGTACATGTACAATACATTGCATTGTAATGCTTGATGTACTGTTTAATTAAAACATACTTTTTATTATCAGGCAAAACAGAGAAAAAAAACTTTCCTGTTTGACTGATGAGTGAGTATTTTAAGACTCAAACAAAGCGCCAATGACTTTGTAGAACAATCAAAGACGCTTCTCAATACTGCTTAGCAGTACTTGTTTAATGAGATAAACTCACACTAAGTCCTTTACACGCGACATTACCCGTAACCGTTATTTACTCTGACTTTTAACACATGGTCATTTGTGAATATCTCTCTAACGTTTTACATATAGTATACAAGCTTGTTACTCGTTAGCATTGCTTAAACATTTACATAATATAAAGCAGAAATCAATGATCGTTTTGTCTACGTTGTTCAAAGGGACATAATTTGAGTTATCGAACTTTGAAACAAAACTTACATTATGCAAATTTCCAAATAAACATTCAATCACAAGGACAAATTGTATATAAAAGCTGTCTTTGGAGGGTGGATGGTGGGGTATATTTCTATTACATTGATTTGAGTAAAATAATTGTGCTTGTTTAAATACAAGTAGAATTGCACCATACTGCACTCTGCTGCAATACAATGCGATACATTGTGATGCCGGCCAATCAAAATTAACGTAGTCTTTTTTTTCTTAATTGAATTTAAAAACTGATTGAATACACACACTTTTTTTCATTTTATGCTTTGAAAAAAAAAAAAAGGTTTCAAAAACAGACTAGAGAGCATTTCTTTTATTCTCATGTTCTTAAATATTTGTTTTCTTTGATATGAATCAAAATTTACAATCAATGATTAAGTCGAAGGACTTTCGCAAAGATACGTGTTGCTGTTTTTTTTTTGTTTTTTTTTTTTGTTTTTTTAATCGAATGACTAATTTGGGTATGTGCAAAAGATCCAAATAAAAAGAACACTCTTTTTTGACTGATGAGTGGATTTTTTTTGTTTGCAAGAGAATTTATACTGTTTACCATAATAAGAATTTAACTGCATTTTATTGTACTTCACTACAATGCAATGTCAATCAATAAAATGAAGTCCATTTTTTGTTTTACATTATGTATTGAAAATAAGGTGTAAATTAACATATTTTCTAATATAATTTTATTTTTTAAAAAGTTTTGAAAAACAAACTGGATGGAATATTTTCATTTACATTTTCTTAAATTATTGTTCTCTTTCATATGAATCTAAATTAACAATGCAGTAATAATGTCGAATGGTTTTTTGACAAATTTTTTCATTGTTGTGTATTATTTTATGCAACGCCTAGTTTGGGTATATGAAAGATTGAAAAAGAGAGAAATCTCGTGTTTGACTGATG